TTTTTCAGATGAGGAAACAGTGCCAGAGAGATAATGTGACTTGTACTGGGACACTCAGCTATCTGGTGGAGGTGGAACCGGGATTCAAACCCAAGGTTATTTGGACCGCACAGTCATGCTTGTCATTTTTCATATCTCATAGTTGTGCTAGCCATTATGGTAGCTGCTACCCACTCCTGGACATATAAACTTAAATTAATTCAAGTTGAATAAATAAAATTCAATTCCTCAGTAGTACTGGGCACATCTCACTCAATAGCCATACATGGCTGGTGGCTGTATTGGACACCATCAAATATAGAATTTTTCCACCACTGTGGAAAGATCTGTTGGATAGCACTGCTTTAGAATGTCAAGAAAAGAAAGGAAATTTGGTGATTTTTACTCTTGCAATGCAGAGCCAGCCATCTGCCATTTGTCAACCCTGTATGGAGTCTATCAGAAGTTATCTTCCCTGGGTGAGATCAAAATAAAATTATCCGTGGGTTTCTGGGCTGTGTTTTGTCTTTCTCCTGGTTTGGGAGGAGACTGCAAGCTGGCTACACTCATTTCCACCTGGGACAGGTGCCCACGGATCTGTGTCCTCATACCCCTTCTGCCCCCAACCCCTAGGTACCCAGTGCCCTCCTCTGTCACAGGGGATTCATGATGCTCCTGGCCATTAAAATGAGATGTCTTCACAGGACAAATCAGATGGGGACTGAGCAAAGTTTCACAACACACTGGGCTTCGTTCCAGCTTGGTGGCCACTGGGTGCATGGAGACTGCTGGAGAGAGTGACGGTGTCTCTGAGTGACAGTGAGGAGGAGGACTGATGGACATCTTTGGTAGAGAGATGTATGGTTATAATTGGATTTTTTCTTGCCTAAGAATGGAAGGAGAAGGGGGCAACAGAGGATGAGATGGCTGGATGGCATCACTGAGTCAATGGACATGAGTTTGAGCAAACTCTGGGAGATGGTGAAGGACAGGGAAGCCTGGTGTGCTGCAGTCCACGGGGTTGCAAAGAGTCAGACACAACTGAGAAACTGAACAACAACAGAATCCCTATCTTATATTCAAGGAATTCTCATTTTGTAAATGAAGGCAGTCTTCTCCCACCATAGAAGCCAAAAGCCAGATATTTGCCTTTATAGTTTCCACTGCAGGTATGAGATGGGCGTGTGAGTCAGACTCAACCAATCAGAGCTTGGGTTACAAAGATGCTGAGACTGCCAGCAAACCTCATGCGCAGGGTAGATGAGAATGATGTTGAGATAGTGCCCATGGCCAGATATCTGTGGTGAAAGTTGGGTACCTAATGTCCTCACCAGACTGACTCCATAGTATATGGTGTCACATGGCCTGATCTTGTCATTCCTGCCCACTTCTAGAAGTTTCCTGATGAGTTTTGAACTCTTGTTTTTTTTTTTAATTATTTTTATTTATTTGTTTATTTGTTCTGGGTTTTAGTCATGACATGTGAACTCATAGCTGTGGCATGTGGGATCTAGTTCCCTGACCAGGGATTGACCCTGTGCCTCCTGCTTGGGGAGTGCGGGGTGTTGGCTACAGGACTGTGAGGGAAGTCCTTGAACTTCTTATTTAATGAATTGTGTTTCTGCTTTTCATCAGCCAGAGTTGGTTACTATTGCTTAAAATGAACTGACACAATGGCGTTCACTGGAATTAGACCAGATTGTTTCTAGACTGGAGTTTGCTCTGGGAGGGGGGTGTTGCTGGAGCGGAGGGGTCTCTGCTTTGGTCCACATGATATCTCCACATCAGGACCCACTCGTCCTGGCCCCGCTGGCCTCTTGCCCTGCTGTTTTATTCTCATCCTCTCTCTTCTCCCTCAAACGTACCAAGTCTCCAGAACTGGGTGCTTGGGAGCCCTGCTCTGACTTGTAATGACTTCTTCCATGCCATGAGTCCTCTCTCCAGGACTTTAGAATTCAGAACATCCTTTCCCTATTTTTCTGCTGAAGCAACTCTTTCTTGAGCAATAATTGTCTCAAAGTCTAAGTTGGGTGGAAAAGGGGTCACAGTGTGAAAGCAAATGGAAACATACTAAGTAATATATCAAACTAGTACCCCACCATACTAGGGTGAATAACCATCCTGGTTTGCCCAGCTGAGAGTTTTCCTGGGAGATGGGACTTTTCCCCCCCATGCTGTGTGGTTTATGGGATCTTAGTTCACTGACATGGGATTGAACCCACATCCTTGGCAGTGAAAGCTCAGAATCCCAACCACTTGACTGGCAGGGAATTCCCCTGGAGATGGGACTTTTGACTGATAGCAAACAGGAAAAGTTCTGTGCAAACAAGGATGAGGTGATCACCCTACACTTTAGTACTATTATTACTAATCCTGTTTTTCTACACAGTTTTATACAGCTTGATAAGGACAGAAGCAAGACCAGGCTCTCATCAATAGGCCCTTACCAAAGTTTTTTTCTTTCTGATAAGTGAAAAAAAATCTCAATGTTATTTCAGTTTTCATTTCCTTTAGTATGAGTGAGTGGAGCATCTTTTTATATTTGAAAGCCATGTTTTCTATACCCTTTCTCTGAACTAGCTGTTTATACTCCTTATGTACCTGGTTTTTTTAAATTATAAATATAAACATGTAGTATTGATTGATTTTTTTTCCTCCTTGACTCCTGCTTATATGACAGTAAGAAATAAAAAATGTATCAGCCCACAATGTGAATAGAAGAGGAGGCAGACATTAGTGGTCCAGAAATTTTGGCAGACCTTCGGCAGACAGAGACAGAGGGGAAGTACTGACTTTAACAGGAGGAGGAAGTTATGATCTAACGTCTGCAGTGAATAATATTGATAACTGAAAGGTGAGCCCAGAATACTTTCTTAGAAGAAATGGATGCTAAAGTTGAGGAAATCTCCTGGAGAGTAGAACAAAAAAAGCCAAAAAGAGGGATGAAAGAGAAAAACAATGAGAAAATTAGCTCAGTCCATTAAACACAATTTCTAATAGAAGTTCAAAACACAATTTCTAAAGAAGTTTAAGACATATAGAAAAAAATAGCAGTAGCTACAAAGAAAACAAATGAAAAAGTGTGGAAGAAATAAAACATAAACCCACATTATTGGGTTCAGCAGAAACAGTGTTTGTAGTTATAGCGTAAACGTGATTCATTGACTTAGCTATATTGAATAATGCTGGGTAGGCACGTAGGGTGGGTTAACATGTGAAGGGAAGTAAGGACCCAAAGGATGATTCAGAGTTAGGTATCTTAGTTGGGGCCAGCTAACTGCTCTAACAAAAATTCTCCTTGTCTCAGTAGCAGAATCCAGTAAAAGTTTATTTTCTTGTCTAGTGTGGGCAGCTGTCTACTAAGAGATGTCTCATTGATCCAGATTCCTCCTATTCTGCAACTCAGCCATCTCCTAGAGCCTTGGAGTCCTTCACTTTCAAGTCCTTTGAAGTCCTTCACTTTAAAGCTGAGGAAGTATGAACAATGACACAAGAGGTTTTTTATGGGTTAGGCCTGAGAATGGCGCACATCACATTCATTTGACCAGAACTTGGTCTGAGAGACAGGCAAGGTTGGGAAATGTTGTCTAATTGTGTGTTTAGGAGCCAGAAAATAATGTGAGGGGAGCAAGTAGCAATATTTGCCACACTAGACAAAGGTAAGGTGTAGGGTGGGGAAGAACATCCCAGGTACTCAGAGCTTCCCAGGTGGCACTAGTGGTAAAGAATCCATTTGCAATGCAAGAGACGTCTGAGACAAGGGTTTGATCCCTGGGTCAGGAAAGATACCCTAGAGTAGGAAATGGCAACCTTTTCCAGAATTCTTGTTTGGAAAGTTCCATGAGCAGAGGAGCCTGGAAGACCACAGTCCATGGGGTGACAAAGAGTTGGACACAACTGAGCATGTATGGACCCCGCATATTTATCGAGCACCTACTACGGACCAAGCATGGTAGATACAACAGCATGTGGCAGTGGGTAACAGCAGGTTGAGTTCCTGGGGGAGGGGGTATGGAACCTGGCCTTAGAGGCAAATGTGGCTAGAACAGAGTTTTACTGATTCTGTAGGAAGTAGTAAGGGCTTTGGACTTGATTTTGAAAGAAGTGGAAGTCCATTAAATGGTATTGAGCATAATGTGCCCCAATCTGCTTTATGTTTTAAAATGATCACTTTGGCCACCTTGTGGAAAATAGATTGGGAGGTCAGGGCTGGACACAGGAGTAGAAGTAGAGCTTAACTATGCCAGGCAGGCTGGAGATGAGGGCAATGCCTGGCCTGATGTGATGGCACTGGGGATCGAGAAAGGTAGATAGGAGAAATATTTGAGAGGTACTGGTTCAGACGATAAAGAATCTGCATGCAATGCAGGAGACCCAGGTTTGATCCCTGGGTCAGGAAGATCCCCTGGAGAAGGGAATGGCAACCCACTCCAGAGTTTGCCTGGAGAACTGCCTGGAGAATTCCACGGACAGAGGCGCTTGGCTGGCCACAGTCCACGGGGTCACCGAGTCGGACACGACTGAGCGACTAACACATGCACATACACAGTCTAAATAAGAGACGTGGTGACTGACTTAATGGGGTGGGAGGGGCATGTGAAGGAGAAAGAAGGGACAGGAACGATTGCTAAATTTTTGGTTGAGTGGTCTGTTGGACTCTAAATGGGAGTTTGAGACATGAAAGCACTTTAGAAAAGGTCAAAGGGCGCAGCAAAGCCAGTGCGTTACATTTTACAGACGGAGAAACTGAGGCACGAGATACTAGCAGGCGGAGTCAGACCGTGTATCGCTCGTCTCACACCCCCTTAGATGGGTGAAAGGACCGAAGGGTCTTGGGTACCTACTAAGCACCAGTATCTAGCCGGGTCCGGCCCCTCCCTGCCCTGCCTGACAGACTGTCAATGACCGTCATTCGCCTCTCAATAAAGTTATTGAAATTGACATTGGTTGCTAAGGAAGTAGGTCGCCGAGCCGGTTGCTAAGGAAGTGAGCGGCCTCGTTCTCTCCCCATCCGGGGCAGCGGGGAACGGCTGAGCCAACGGCTAAGCCCACGGCTCGCCGCCGCCCCCGCCGCCGCCCGCTTTCAGCTCGGGCTGCAGGTGAGTCGGGGTGGAGCCGCAGGGCCGCTGGGCAGGGCCGATCTTCCCGCCGCACGGGATCTTCCCCTGAAGGCCCGCGGCGGCACCACCGACAGGCTTTGCTGCTCCGGCAGCTGGAGCATCTTCTGCTCTGCCTCCTGGGCATCTTCAGACAGTCCGGACGGCCTCGTTCCCTTCTCCCCCAAGCGGGAGTGCGGCCCGACCCCAGACCCGGCCGCGAGGCGTGGAAGTCAGAGGCCGAGCTCTGGGGAGAAGCGGGAGGGAGAGGGGAAGCGGTAAGGGAGGTGGGGAAGCGAAAGCTTGGGGTCCGAATCTTGGCGCTGCCCCTGGCTCACTGTGTGACCTTGGGCAAGTCCCTTTCCCTCTTGGCCTCAGTTGACCTGTTTGCCCAGTGGGGTCCTAACACTTGCTTCTCGGAGTGTTTAAGATATTGAGCCGTGTATGCTGGAAGTTCCCTCAGTGGGGAGGAGAAGGGCCAAGAGCCCAACTTAAGTGTCTGGATTTGAGACTATGCATCTCCACTTAGTAATGGTGTGGCCTTCGGCAAATTAATCTCTGAACCTTCTTTTCTTATCTGTAAAATGCGTTAATGAACTGCAGTGGGAATCCAGTAAGACGGGTATGTCAAGTAGCTTGGCACATAGTAAGTGCTCAACAAGCTGTTAGGAGGCATATGGGGTGGTTTTGGTAAGGCTTCCTGGAGGGGTTGATTTTGAGACTGATAGAGTTTAGGTGTGTAGTGCACCAGCTCATATGGATGTTCCTCCCTTGTTGATACCCCCCTCAGTTTTATTTCATTCTGCTAAGAGCAAGGGAGGTGGTGTGGATTTCTGCAAAATAGTCCTGGTGGGGGAAACCCTGGGGTCAAGTCCTTGTTGATAGTTGAGGTTATGGTTTTATTTTTTTACTTAGGTCTTGTTGACTCTTCCAGAAGACAAAGAGTTATGTTTCTGTCTTTTGAGAAGTGCTTGAAACAGTAATAGCTATTTCCAAGTGTGATTGGCCTTTAAACAACACAGGTTTGAACTGTGTGGATGCATTTTTTTTAAAATGAAGTTATGTACTTCACCTTTATGTATAAAGAACTTGAGCATCCATGGATTTTGGTATCCACCGGGGCTTCTGCAACCAATTTCCCGCAAATATTGAGGGTCAGCTGTATATGATTAAGAAGCACTTTTCAGGTATATTATCTCATTTAATCTTCACATAGACTTTGCCAGGTAGGTGGTGATGTCATCTCCATTTCGAAGATGAGGAAACTGAGGCTAAGAAAAGTGAATGACTTGCCTAAGAATTTTATACCTATTAAGTGATGGAGCTGGACACATTTCCAGGTAAATCCTGTATTTTCTTCTCCGTACCCTGATATCTTTGTTTTCTCAGTGGTAGCCGTTACAAAGCCATAGGGTATTCTTTCGTTCCTTCTGACTGCTGTGGCTAGAGGCTTTTCTTCCACTGACAAGGAAACAAGATCTTACATAAAGCTTCAGTTAAATAGATACCATCCGAAGTGTGAGTTTCAGAAAAGAGTTGGAATGTTTAAAGGGGTTTCTCTGTCCTCCTGACCCGTCCTCTTTAAAATGAGAGGAGTAAGCTAATGGGTCCTTTTAGTGCTATTGTGCAATTCTGATTGCATGCTAGTGGTTTAAAGGCATGGAATGAGGCTGCCTGGGTTCAAATCTTGGCTCTGCTGCTTCTAAGTTGTGTGCCACTGAGTGATCTACTTTACCTCTTTGTGCTACAGTTTCAGCATCTGGAAAAGTAGAGTAATAATAGTATCCACCATCCATGGCTGTTGTGCGGATTTATGTATGCCTAATACATGTTAAGTGCCTGGCAGTTTTGGTAAACATTAGCTATTGTTATTTAGGCTTAACATAGCCTAAATAACCTGAATTATGCTTTATATTTTAATGATGGTTAGTGAATGAGTAAATTAAAGCATGTGCTGATGATACTAGGTCTTGTCAGCTTCACAGGGTCACTGAATTCAAGAAACAGTACCTATCACTGCTACTGCTGCTGCTAAGTCACTTCAGTCGTGTCCGACTCTGTGCAACCCCATAGGCAGCAGCCTACCAGGCTCCCCCGTCCCTGGGATTCTCCAGGCAAGAATACTGGAGGGGGTTGCCATTGCCTTCTCCAGTACCTATCACAGTATGGTATAAATGTCACTGTTACAGGGTTGCCCCAGGAACCTCTAATCCCATGTCAGAATGGGTTGCAAAGAAAAACGAAAGCTGATGGTTGGATGCCAGGTCTGGTTGTCTGACTCCCAGTTCAGTAAATGTTTACCAAATCCCTATTTGCCAAGCACGTGGAGCATGTGGAGATCAGCCCCAACTCCACATTTCTTCAAGGACCTCGGAGCTTAATTTGCATATCGCGAGCATTTGAATTGAATTTGATGTCTTTAAGTGAGTTCATGTCTTGTGTTTTCCCCTCCTTGGTGTAAAGGTGTGGATTCACTTCTCTTGTGTCCTTAGATTTCTGTTGGGTGCCTTGGCTAGAAGTCTTGGCTTGCTCTCTAAGCCCTTTATCCACTGATTTATGGCTCCCTGAGAAAGAACCTTCTGTTGTGCTGGTTAATAATACAGTGCCCTCTTTATGGTGCCTAATGGTTTACAAGAATGCTTAAACATGTCTTCACTCATTTGGTCTATCAGTAACCCTGTTAGGACAGGAAGGTGCAGATTGAGATTCCCATTTTACAGTCGAGGGACCTGAGGTAAGAGAAGCCAGGCTGCTAGCAGGTGGCCCATTTCACACTGACCTCCAGGCCTTCTGACTCCAAGTTCAGTGCTCTTGCCCCTACTGGTTCAGTTTCATTCTCTTGCTGATCACTTGGTGTGTGTCAGGTGCAGTTCTAGCCTGGAGCTCTAATGGTGGAGAGGTAGGTGGGGTCCTTGCTCTCATGCAGCTTGCATTCTAATGGCAGCAGCAGAAAAAGAAACCAGTAAATGGACAAGGTCGTTTGGATGGAAATAAGTACTCTGAAAACAATAAAACAGTGTTGGAGAGTAACTTCTCCATGGGGGTGCTTCAACTTAAACTGGGTGGTCCAAGAAGGTTACTCTAACATAATGACATTTTTGCTGAGATTTGTGGCCAGAAAGGGGCCAGCCATTTGAAAATGTGGCAGAAGAGCAGGGATAAAGTCTCTGAGGTGGGAATAGGCTTGGTAAATTCTGGGAACCAAAAGAAGACTCAGAGTGGCTGGAGCAAGTGGGTGTGTGGGGGATGGGTGGGGGTGAGGCTTCAGGTCATGCAGGGCCTGTAGCCCAGAGCACGGAGGTGGGCTTTTATTCCAGAAGCAATGGGAAAGCATTGAAGGCTTTAAGAAGGCAGTGACATAATCTGTTTTGTCTTTTCTAAAAATCATTTTGGCGTCTGTGGCCAGTGAATTTTAAGAGGTATAAGAATGACAGCCTGGACAGTTGTTCGGAGGCCAAGTGAGAGGTGATGGTGGCTTTCTAGGGTGTTGGCAGTAGAGATGGTATAAGAAGATAGACTGGGGATGTGTCATGGAGGTGAAACCAGCGGGATGGTAGTTGAAGGCAAGGAATCATAGATGATTCCTGGGTTTTGGGCCTGAGCAGTTTGGTAGATGTTGGTGGTGCCATCTGCCTTGAAAATTATAAGACAGCTTTTTTTGTAAGGTGCCCTGTGTGGAAGAATTAGCTCTGGTTCCCTGTGAACTCTTGGAGGAGAGACACAAGGTATAAACATCACACTTCGAGCCTCTGGGGAGGAGAGCCTACAGGATAGACACCCAGGTGTGTCTGTTTGAAGCCTCCCCCAGGACATCAGAAGCCCTACTTTTCTTGAAGCCTGGCTCTTGGCCAGCTTGTGGAGTGGCAGGTGCAGGCTGTGCCAGGGCAGTGCCCATCTGCTTCATTGCTGTTGGCATTGCTGTCCTAACTCAAGATCTTTGCTGATGAAGGTTCCTGGGAGAAGGCTGGCCAACTCTGGGAGACAGAATGGAATCACTTGTGAAGTTCAGTGCCTCAAATGGCCACAGTCTCCCTGCCAAAGTGGTTCTTTCTTGGCCATCGAATGACATTTCTAAAGTTTCAGAGCTTTTGATTTGGGAATCCCTGGAGAAGCTGTTGTGTTCTGCTGGAATTCCTAGAGGATCCTTGAATGAAGTATCTCTTCTGAGCAAGGGAATTTGAGCCTTCTTTTCATTTATGCTAATAACTGCCTCTGTAAATTTAGACTTCACAATGTTGTAGATTCAGCACTGTGAATAGTAAGACTAATAATTCTACCACCTCCGCTTGTCTAGCTTTGTTTTCAGTTTTGAATGCTCTTTCCTGCACATTCTTGTGTACTAATGTTTAGTTAGTTGAGAATATGTGGCATATGTATTTTACTTAGTTTACAGATGAAGCGTTGAGAGGGCATTCATTTTGGTCAATGATACTAGATACTTGGTAGGTGCAGGGCTAGGTCCTTGTTGGTCCAAGGCTATTCTGTATGATCAAGGCACCCATGTGCCCTGAGAGCTTATTAGAAATGTAGAATTTATGTCTAGATATAGTAAACCAGCCTGCATTTTACCAAGACCCCCTGCCCCCCAGGGTGTTTCCTGGGTACATTAAAGCTGGTGATGCCCTCTTTGGTTATAAGTTGCAAAACTAGGATTTAACCAAACATAATAGTAATAAAAGCACAGGCTTTCCTTGTTTTATTGTGCTTCACGGATGTTGCATTTTTTTACAATTTGAAGGTTTGTGGCAACCCTGCATTGTCAGGTGATGGTTAACATTTTTTTTGGCAATAAAGTATTTTTAAATTAACAGTTACATTTTAATTAAACAATTGCATTGTTTCTTTAGACATAATACTCTTGCACACTTAATAAACAGTATAGTATAAGCATAACTTTTATATAGTCTGGGATACCATAAAATTTGTGTGACCTGCTTTATTGCAAGATTTGCTTTATTATAGTTGAACAGAGCCAACTGCAGTATCTGCAAGGTATGCCTGTAACTGCAGAGCCAAATCTGCAGTATCTCCAAGGTATGCCTGTAACAGGAATAGCTCAGATTTATTGATCCAAATGCTGTTCTTACTTTACACGCATTGTCTCATTTAGTCCTCATAGCAGCCTGGTAACAGTACTGTTATGAATCCCACTTTCCAGAAGAGGAAAGTAGAGGCACAGAGAAGTCAAATAACTTACCCAGGCCTGCTGACTCCAGGTCCACTGCTCTTTCAGCCACTCACTTGTTCATCTGTTTTTCAGGTGGGCATCACCTCCCTGATGTCTTGTCAAAGGCCTTTCTTTCCTTTTTGTACCCAGGTGACTAACTTCAAATGCTGATGAAAGAAAAGTGACTTCATAGAATGACTGAAGAAATCAGGGGAAAAACCCTTGGTATTTGAATATAATTCTGGATGTCAATTACTTGACTGACAGGCAACAGAGATAATCTGATTTGTGAGATAGGCTACCTCTCCCTCTTCTTAGCTCTAATTCAGGCCTGAAACGAGAAGCAGGTAGGCACTGTGAGCTTGTATTCTGAGTCATTCAGTGCTGAACTGCTTCTTGATTCTGCTGATAACATCTGTACCAGTGAGGAGAAGCTGGCTAAAGTCCTATGCCACCAGCTGACTAATTGCAAAAGATTCCCTTTATTGAGCCTCAGCTCTCCCTGTCTGCTGGGTGGGCTCATGATTTTCCTTTCAATATCCCCTTATCTCCGCAATCTTAGAGTTCTTGATCAAAGCCTGTGCCATCACAGGAAATTCTGGTGTGAAAAGGCAGCGGGATCTGGGTGGAGACATGAGTTGTAAGCACATTCTGCCATTTGCTCTGTTACCCAAGGCTAGTAACTTGGTGTCTCTGGCCCTCATTATCTGTATAGTCAAAATGGACATGGGGTCGTCTTCCAAGGCCCTTCCAGCGCTGCCTGCAAGACAGCTTTGAGTTGGCTAACCTTTTACTTTTCCTTGGTGACTTGATGCAGTGCTTTCTCCCAGGCCTTCCAGGGTGGGGCTTTGAGAGCTATGTCTTGGCAGTCAGAGATCCTTACCATCAGCTCATCTTATCAGCACAGACATCTGCATTGCTGCTTGGGATGTTCTTGTTTAGGGCTCAGTTAATCTTGGTGACATACTGTGTCTCCTCACTTTGTCACACTGATCGCAGACAGAGAGCTCTTCACACACAGGCACATCTATCTTTAGCATGCTGGTTCATTTAAATCATAGTTTGCCTTAGCATCAGTGATAATTGTAGTGGGTGTGGTTTTATTTTTATAATTTTTGGCAAGATATTTGCAGCAGTTGCATTTTGTCATATTTGAACATAGTGTATAAATGGAAGTGGGTCCAAGTGAAATAAAAATTGTAATAGGTTCTTGGGAGCTGAGACTGGATATGCTGTTACCCATCCTGGGGTCCTTAACATCCCCTTCAGCAGTGGTTTCTGGGAGGACTTGTTTGAGGCTTTCATGTGTGATATAAATTAAACAGAGGCTGAAGCTCATAGTACTGTCTCCAGCAGCGTAGGGGACTGCAGTAATCATTACTTTATAACACATTTCAATAACCTAAGCAAAGAAGTCTAGCTAGTAAATCATAAAAGATTCCATCCAGGTAAGATAAAACGTCAGCTTGAGTTACTTAAGATAACCGCAAGAAGATAGCTCTTGGTGGAAATAGTTACTGGTTTTGCAAGGTCTGCAATAGCAGGTCAGATTCTAGCTCAAGAAATACATGGTGTTTTTCCCTGCTTATTTCTTCAGTTGTCAGCATTTTTTTAATAGAATTTTTTTTCCCCTGACTATAAAAATAATGAATTTCCACTGAGGAAAAATGAGGAAAATCCTAAGAAGATTAACTTAAGATTCACCCAGAAATAACTTCTATTAAATCATCTTACTGTCCAAAGGAGAATGCACTCCTAAATGTGTTTTGTCTTATGGATACGCAGTTCTTACCTGTTTCCCTAATCATTGTCGTTTAGGCTGATTTCAATACTTAATGCTACGAGTAATGCTACAGTGAACATCTTAAAGATTATCTTTGCATAAACTTGTATTTACGTTTCTGATGATGTTTTTTAAATTAAAATAATTTTTTGTTTGCGCTGGGTTTTCTTTGCTGCTCACAAGCTTTCTCTAGCTGCTGACAGTGGAGGCTCCTCTCTAGCTGCGGTGCTCGGGCCTCTCATGGTGGTGGCGTCTCTCACTGCAGAGCACGGGCTCTAGGCAACGGGCTTCCATACTTGCTCCATGTCACATGGAATCTTCCCGGACCAGGGATCGAACCCACGTCCTCTGCATTGACACGCAGATTCTCAACCACTGTACCACCAGGAAAGTCCAAGTTTGTTGTTTTTTTTTTTAAACGAGGATCATTTTTTAAAGTTTTTATTGAACTTGTTACAGTATTGTTTCTGAATTTTATGTTTTGGTTGTTTGACTTTGAGGCACGTGGGAACTTCGTTCCCCCACCAGGGATTAAACCTATACCCCTTGCAGTGGAAGGCAAAGTCTTAACCACTGAACCACCAGGGAAGTCCCCTCGTGATTTCTTTAAACTGGATCCTTTCCTTGTTAAAAAAAATGTAATTATAAAGGCAGCCTCCCAAATAATGTTTTTAACAAGATGGTGTCTAAACAAAGTTGAAAAGGCAGACACTAATAGTTTAGTGGGGAAGGATTACCTTTGAAAAGGGTATTCTGATTCAGTTTCAGCTTACTGGTCCACTTGCAGATGTCTTTTCAGATAGTTGCTCTCAAAGTGTATTTGGAGACGTTCATTTAACGTTTCATAACCATTTTTTTGTGTTTTCATGTTTAGTAATTATGAACTAAAACATTCCCTAGTGATGTTTTAGGCACTGGTGTTGTTTCTGGCTTTTAATAATCACATACAGTGCTGTGGTGAGTATCTTTGCTTCTCTGCCAGCCTCGTAAGAGAACAATTCTAAATAAATTAGTTTAGGGAAAGTTATAACTTTATAAAGTTCAAAAGGAAAACTGTACCTTTTCCTTCTTAAGATTTGATTAGGACCCTCTAAAAATATCTTTAAAAAAAAAAGCTTCATGAGATATAATTCACATACCATAAGGTATCTTTTAATAATTTTTGTGAGCCTTCTTTGCTGTCTCCTTAATCTGTTTTTCTTTCTTCTTTTATTTAATTATTTGTCTGCACCAGGTCTTACTTGCAGTACACAGGATCTTTGACCTTCATTGTAGCATGCAGAATTTTTAGTTGTGGCATATGGGATCTAGTTTCCTGACCAGAGATTGATCCTGGGCCCCCTGCATTGAGAGCATGGGGTCTTAGCCACTGGACTACAGTGAAGTCCCTGTTTTTCTTTTTGATACAGAATTCCTTGTGAGTAGGACTCAGACATGAGCCCTTAACATTTAAACCCTTCATTCTCTGAACAGACTATTGGCTGGTGACATTAACCAGAAATACTGTATGTACGTTATCAGTTTTGTGCAGTGGATGAGCAGTGAGAGCAGACATGTCTTTATGGAATCAGGCAGTGAACCATGATATTTTTGATGGACTTTCAGAGAGGAATTTTTAAAATGTAGCCAATTCATTATATTACTGAAACATCCTGTGATTTATGGAATATTCTGTTTGATCAACTTTGGAAACTGTATACTATAAAGGTAGCGTATTTAGGCAGCTTCTCTAACATTAATGTACACACCAGAATCACCAGAGATGTTGATGATGGGACTCTGATTTTGAGGATTTAGATGGGATTAGATTCTAGGGGTTAAACCAGGTGGGATGGGGGAAGATTTTAGGTGACACTCAGGTACAACATCCTAAATTCTGTTGAGTGACACTGTGAGAGTTATTACTTCTGAAACACTTTTGGCTCTTCTGACTATGTCAAGAAGAATATTTGGTTTCAGTCTTTCTTAACATGTGCTAAGTTCCCTTTCTAACCAAGGGAGATCAGTTCTGGGGCCTTAGGTAAGCTACAGTTATTTAGTTTGAATTTAGCAACACTGTTGTGTGTCCTTATATTTATTTTCAGTTACCTTCCATTTACAACAAGTGATACTGGTTTTCCATTTATAGTAGTGATAGAAAGTTTCTTTTAAAAAGAAACATGTATTAAAAGTAGGTTTAATGCAAAACCATAACTCAATAATAGTACAGGTAGTGTATGGATATGGCAAAAACTGTGAAGTCAGATGACTGACATTTAGGACATGCTGGTGTGGAAAAAAGGCCATGACCTTTGGAGCCAGGTCGCCCTGGTTTCTGCTTGCTTTGCTGCTGATTATCTCAGTCTGCCATGTTGCTTCTCTCTCCCATCTCCAGGGTTTTTTACTCTCGTAAATTGGGTCAGGGCAGAGGCACCTCCTGTGGACCAGGCATCGTCATGCCTGTCCTCTGATCCTCACGCAACCCCAAGGAGCCGGGCATTCATGATAGTCCCATTTTGCAGAGGAAGAAATAGGCTCAGAGGGGTGAGGGAACTTGCATGGAGTCCCAGAGCTGGGAATGGTTGGACTGGGTTTCAATCCCTGGTGTGTCTGAACCTCTTTTTTGTTATTCCAGGCCACCTCCCTCGTTCAAATACAGCATTTGTTGTGGCTGTCTGCCCGGCTGCCTGGCAGTCTGATTAAAAGGACAAGTCATTGTGTACACTCATCATCACTACAACATTATTGACAATAGCCAAGAGGTGCAAGTCACCCTCATGTCCATGGCCATGTCAGTGGAGAAAGAAAATATGGTATATACTACAATGGGATGTTATTTAGCCTTATAAAAGACAGAGATCTTGTCACATGCTACAATACGGATGAACCATGAGGTTGAATGGTGGTTTCCAGGGGCTGGGGAGACAGGGAGGTGGGGAGTTGCTGTTTGATAGGTATAGAGTTTCAGTTTGGCAAGATGAAAAAGTTCTAGAGATCTGTTGCAAAACACTGTGAATATCATTACTGAACTGTACACTTGAAACTGGTTGCGAGGGTACATTTTATAATATGTGGGGTTTTTTTGTTTTGTTTTGTTTTTTAACCACAGTTAAAATTTTCTTAAAAGTTAAAAAAAAAGCGCCACTGGTCAGAAGGCAATCTTTTTTTTTCCATTTTGGAAACTCTCAAGCATATGTAAAAATAGAATAGTATAATGAACCATGAACCCATTACCCAACTCCAGCAGTTATCAGCACATGGCAGTTCTGGTTCACCTGTGACCTTTTTTCCACCCCACTGACCTCACCCCTGATTATTTTGGTTCCAGACAGCATGTTACTTTTATCTGAAAATGCTTTTGTGTGTATCTCATAAGGATAAGAACCTTCTTTAAAAAATACTGTTTTTACACCTAAAAAGTAATGGTAGTTCCTTAACATCATCTTATGTTCAGGGTTTGAAGTCTCTTGATGGTCTCATATATTTTTAATAATCAGCTTGTTCAAATCAAGATCCAGAAAAGGGTCCTACTCAAGGACCAGTTGTTGTATTTGGTTGATTAAATTTCTGACATCACAGTATAAATTTTAAGCAGAGAGACTATTTCTTTGCTGGATCAGTACATGGAACAAGAAGTTCCTGGCAGGCAGGCGCTTCCAGCTTCATAGCTTAGTGGTAGTTCAGAGCATTAGCCCTGAAAGTCGGGGTCATATGGACGGTGGGTGCCCTGTGGGTGGGAGAATAAATGGTATAGCCAGGGGAGTGGGTAAGACCGTGCCCTCTGTCGAAAGGACATGCATAGCCTTTAAACCGCTAGCAGTAGCTTCTACTAAGAACCCCCACATATAGTTAAAGGTATATTCATTCATGGTCTATGCTCAGTCATATCTGACTCTTTGTGACGCTATGGACTGTAGCCCACCAGGCTCCTCTGTCCATGGAATTTTCCAGTCAAGAATACTGGAGTAATTCTTTTCCTCCTTCAGGGGATCTTCTAGACCCAGGGATCAAACCCTCATCTCTTGCATCTCCTTCATTGGCAGGCAGATTCTTTACCACTGAGCCACCTGGGAAGCCCAGTATTCAGGACATTCACTGCAGCGTTGTTTGCACTGACCAAAAACTTTTGCAAAGACCAAAACTGTTGGAGTTTCCCTCAGTGGAGGACTAATCAAATACGTTATCAGGCAACTGTACTGTGGTATCTAAGCAGCTACTTAAAAGGTGGGGACACGGGTGAGGGTTGGAGGAATGGGAGGTTTCTCCAAGATCTATAAAATAAGATAGAGAATGATGATATATACTTACTTACACCTCAATTTTAAAAGTAGGGAAACAATGTTTATATTAGTTAAGATATATTAAGCATGAATATATCATATATTAATGTTTGCATATGCTTCAAGTATCTCCCCAGGGGTAGGAGGAAGATTTATTTGTTCACTATATATACAACTTGAATTGTTTTAATCTCTGCATATATTGATACACATGTATATGCATGTGTATATGTATAGTAAGTTTAGAGTTTTTCAATAAGACAAACCTGGTTTTGAATCCTGACTGTACCGTTTAACTGCTGTGACCTTGAGCCAATAAATTTCTCTGAGCCTCCCATCCTTGTTTTTAAAATAAGGTTAATACCTATTCCTCTAAATGTGATTTTGAGGATTAGAAGAGGTATATACATTAAGCACTTAATGTACTATGAGTCATGACTATTGAATACAAGGTAGCCCCAGACCCACATTGATTCTGAATTAGTGTCCCCTAGACTTGAATATATTTTTTATGAATGTACTTTATGAATGCTTTGGTTTCTTTGCCTCTTTTTTCTGCTGCTGCTGCTAAGCCACTTCAGTCGTATCCGACTCTGTGTGATCCCATAGACGGCAGCCCACCAGGCTCCCCTGTCCCTGGGATTCTCCAGGCAAGAACACTGGAGTGGGTTGCCATTTCCTTCTCCAATGTGTGAAAGTGAAAAGTGAAAGTGAAGTCGCTCAGTCGTGTCCAACTCTTAGCGACCCCATGGACCGAACGTCCGAAGCCTACCAGGCGCCTCCATCCATGGGATTTTCCAGGCAAGAGTACTGGAGTGGGGTGCCATTGCCTTCTCCGCTTTTCCCCGCTAGATAGTGCTTTCTTTGTTTGCCTGTTGGGGTCATCAAATGACGGAGCTCGTGGTGGCAATTTGAATTCAGGGCACGCATTTATGTGTTCATGTTTCTTGTCTGTGACCTTTCTAGGTTTCTTTCCAGATAAGTAGTCTGTCATCTTAAGACACGTAAGCTGAAACCAAGGTACTAGACCTTTTTCCCCCCAAAGAAAAAATATTTTTATTGCCATCTCCCTGCTTGATTGTAAGAAACAAAATACACCTACTTATCACAAAGGCCAAAGAAAGCAAAAACAGTAATTTGTAAGCTCACCCCCGGAGATCAATCTTACTTGCTTTTCTTGAGGGTTTATTATGCATCTTGGACTAGACTGAGCATTTAACATTTATTAGCTTACTTAATCCTTATAACAGTTCTTTATGGTAGGTGTTGTTATTAATCCCATTTTATAGAAGAAACTATGACAATATAACTTTCTCAAGATTTTATAGCTAAGTGGCAGAGCAGAATTTCAAACCCTGACCTGCTGAATATTCAAGTTCACGCTTGAATAGTGTGTCTTGTCTTTGCACAGTTTCCTTCACATCTGTCTCTGCACTTGTGCATGTACACATGTAGACATAAATTGTATCATAGTAACTGTCCTGTTTGGTAGCCTGCTTTTTTTCTCTCAACAAGATCTCATGAACATCTTTCCTTGTGTAAATACCTAGAGGTTTGTTACCATTCTTAATGATTGCATAATTTCCCATTGTAGAGATATGTCATAATCTAACCAGTTCCTTATCAATGAGTGTTTAAGTGGTCAGAGATGCGACTGAGATAAACATAAAGGTGTATGTACATCTTGCACATGTATTCAGTTATTCACTGATGGTCTTAAAATAGTAGCAAGAAATGGAGTTGCTGTTTCAAGGGAGTATTACGTTTCAAGTATTGCATTTCAATGTTTATATATATATATATATATATATTTTTTTTTTTTTTTTGGCTGTACTGTGCGACTTGCAGGATCTTAGTTCCCCAACCAGAGTTTGAATCCATGCCCCCTGCAGTGGATGTGTGGGATCTTAACCATTGGACTGTCATGAAAATCCCTTCAGTTTTTTTATATTGATTGCTCAAATGCCCTTAAATAATTTGTGCCGGTTTGAAATGCTGTGGCTCTTATATGTACTGTAACAGATAGTTTCAAAGTGTTTAGACAGAGCTCTCAACTGTTTGGCTTACAGAAAAAGATTCCCTTATGTTTATAAACCATGCCCGTAATAACAGAATATATGTTATTAGTCTGTTATTTTGACATCTTTGTTCTGAATGCCTTTTATGGTTGAGGCTACACGACATGTAACATTGACATTAGAAGATTAACGACTCCATGGCTGTAGACCTCATAGAAGCGCTTTTATGACGCTTCCCCATGAAGTGAGAACAAGTAGCTTTACTCCTAGGGCCCTTGTTCATCAGTTAAAACATTGTATTATGTTATATTCGTGGTGGTCAGTGAAAGTGGATAGATGAAAGGGGGAAAATGAGTTTTAACATCTGGATATAGTTTAGTTAATTTCACAAAAATTTTCCATCTTTTTTTCTCCCCTAATTTGATTTTAAGACTGGGTGATATATTTACATGATTCAAGAGGTATAAAAGGATATACACTGTAAAGCCTTCCTTTGGCTCTTGGCCTTCAACTACCCAGCTCTTTTCCCTACAGGCAACCAGTGTTGTTATCTGGCTCTTGCGTATTCCTCCAGATATATTTTATGTACATAGAGGCAGATAAAGAACTATTCTCCCAACACAGATTCCATGTCCTTTTAAAAGTTCTCCAGAGAGGGATATTATTTTTTCAATTGGAGATGAATAATCTTGTTTTGAAAATTGTGTAATTCCCATTTTGATAACTGGCCGTCATGGGAACCAGAGACTCAGAGTTGAGCTTGCTCTCTTGATGTTGGTTCAGGGATTGGCAAACAAGCAGTCCTGATCCTTCAGAACAATTAGTAGCAGTTGTGAAAGAGTCTGTTGATGGTGATGAGGTGGATACAGAGTAGAAACAGCTGCTTCCCCTGAGAGGAAGCTGCACAGGGACTTGGTTTGGGCTGGTTAATAGGGAGTCACTTTTATCTTCTTGTCTGAGTGTTGTGGTCCTTTTCTGCTGGCCTCTGTGATCTATGGCTTGGGCTGCCTTTACACTCTGAGTCCTTGAACTCCAGGCCAGGCAGTTGGCAGGTGTTTACCTGATCTGATCTTAGAGAACACTGCGTTGGAACGCATTCATTAAAGGTGTATTAGTATGCACTGTGTACCCACACGGTACCCCTCCTTGCAGGGCTGTTCCTAATGAATTGCCAGACCTTTATTTTTTTCCCATTTAAAGATACCACATGCTTGTTAGAGAAAATTTGGAAAATATAGAAAGCTTGAGGGAGTAGGGAAAATCTCCTATATGCAGTCCCATCTCACAGAGTGGACCACTACTGCTGTTTTGATGTGTGTCTTATTTTTATGCAATTGTGATTGCTTGTATTTAATTTTGTAAACTGCTTTTTCATTTATGCTAAGCACATTCCATGTCATTACAGAGCCTTGATAAGTGTCGTTTAAAAAGATGGACTAACATGACAAGGGCTTCCCAGGTGTCGCAGTGGTAAAGAATCCACCTACCATTGCAGGAGACACAGGAAATACAAAA